CTGTTGTTGCTATTACACTTCTGAGACTCGCTCTGCTGTATTCATCAAGCGGGCTTTGTAGAAATGGTATAAGATCTGCGGGCTGTGGCTTCGGGGAAGAGCTCCCGCTGAAAAGCAAAAGTTTGGGAACTACCTCGGTACACAGCAGGGACGGGACGTAGGGTCCCCTTTCATCCCGACGAAACAAGCTGGGTATCGTATTGGGGCCAAAAATATTCCAAGATCATTCTCGGATGATTCGAGAATGCGTCGGATCCTCTAGAGCAGGCTTTTCCGTCCCGCCCGGCAGAAGATGAAGAGAAGACAGAAAGAAAAACGGCGGCAAGGACCTTCTCTCTCAACGGGATCAAGGGTTCGATGCAAACTAGCGGGCACTAAGCCTTGAAGCCAGGAATATTCTGCCTAGTGGCAACACTCAGTGGAGTTTCCCGCACCTTCCCGCCTAAAAGCTCCTAATTAGTTGTTAGACCGCCTGGTTCAGGCGTGAAGTTACAGGGTTGTCCAGGGCATATTTTACGATTGAAGGATTGAATTTTTAGGGAGGACGGGAAGGCGGAAGTGATGGGGAACAGTGGAGGCGGGAGATTGACAGGAGCAATGTTGCGCGCTATCCGCTCCATTTTTCTCAGAGAGCCTGTCCCTGTTCGCCCCTGGTTCCACTTATGAAGTACGAACACCAGTCCGTGGGATGTAGTGTATTCGTTTTGGTGAGCTCGTCTCTTTCTGCTGGGCCTCGACTGATCTCCCCCTCCTTGCCAATGATTGATATCCATGCGGGACGATCAACTTCAGGTTACTGATACTGATAAGCTGGATTTGGGCATATGGAATACTACTACAAGTAGCTCACGTACACGACAATGAACCTGCTCACTCTTGTGGTACATGCGACACCCACGCTGGAGGATGATGAGTGAAAGTGGAACTAGGACGGAGAAATAGCTCCCCCTTGTCAAAGCCGAGGTTGAGCTGCCGACAAGGGTTGAAATTGAGGGGATGGAGTCGAAACGACAAACGAAACGGGAGACGTCAGCTCCTAGTCGCTCCGGAAGCAATACCGTAACACTGCTGGCACCTCTTCCACGTCGTACAGGGGTGAATCAGTATCCCATGGTTGAGCAGCATTCCACTTCAGTGCAGACAACTTGGACTTTTTAGAGGGGCTCGATAAGGTCTTCCCGAACTGGGAGAAAGCGCCGGCCACGGGGCTTTATCCTCTGAAATTCATTGGCGATGCCCCTAGCCAGCACGAGCAATATGGGGCCCCAGACCCTTGGCAAGCCTGGAAGGTGGAGGGAACCAAGAGGGGATATCGTCACATTTCCACAAAGTAAGTATAACTCCCGCTTCTTCATCAGGACCTTGCATATCACGGATGGGCGCATTTGAGCTCGGATTCGCCGGCTTCTGCTCCCCAGGTCTCCCGTGCTCCCCCAGGATTTTACTGAGGACCCATCGGTATAGCCTACATCAGTCCCTAGATCGACTTAGACTCCGCTCTTGAAACAATACAGAAGGACTAGCGGTGATGATGCCTTCTTTGTCCAAGAGTAAAGTATGCCGAGGTCTGTCCGTCTCCTTTGTAATGGACAGGTAGGACCAAGAGTGGGACAGAACAACGAGGACGGAAAGCATTCCTTTCATCGAACCAGGGTCAAGACGTGCTTTTCTCCTTAACTGGCATACTGGACGCCCCATCCGGCTGCGGGCCGTGTTCGGGTAGCTTGGAAAGACTCCTCTTTGTGAAATTTCGACACTAAACCGACTCCAGCATTGGAGAGATTACCCTTGCTTATCCTGCCTGCCCTCCCGTTCGTTCTTCACTGTTGTCTGGGGGGGATTGTTTCCCTTTTCCTCGAACACGTGTACTTGCACTAGCATTCTTGAGGATTAGCATCATGACCATGGGGTATTGGTTCCCCCCCTTTTTACAAGTCCCATCGTTAACGATGACTGTGTTGTTCCATAGACGACGTTCGTCCGGTTTCTCCCGCTCTCTCCTCAACTTGGCTTACTAGGGTTGATGGACAGACATGGCACCATCGTATGCAGAGCAAGACCGTTTTTGGTTCGACCCGCGGCCGTTTTTTGTGTTCCCCGAAATTTTGCATGGCATCAAAATACTACCTCTATAGTTATCATATTCTTCAGGAAGGTTAGATATCTGATACAAGTTCCAATTCGTCCTACTTCGTACACATTCACCACGACATTTAAAGACCACTTATGAGTGGATCAACAATTCTTGGACACCCAAGGTTGAGGGATATGATGAAGAGCCCGCCTAATTTGCTTCCTGCCCAATTCAAACCTCGTCGCCTGGGGGGACCATGACTAGGACCCTGTCTACTGTCCATCACTGAAGCTCCACGTCATATTCTTGCCTTGCGCGTTGTGTCGTGGATGGACCCGAAGCAAGGATTCTCGGCTTCTTTTTGCCTTTCCTTCTTTTTTGGCGAAGATTTATCTCCGAGGACGGTGAGGACGGGTCGTTTGAACGGCAGGTCGACGAGCTTGGTGCCCAGTCATTCCCCTAGCCCGAGATAGCGTAGAAAGGGGGATCGGGGAATAGTTTTGACGGGAGGAGAGCTATGCTCATGCTTTGAAGAAGAGGGAGAGGTCATTCCGGAGTCGGGTCCTGGTTCGGATCTCTTGATAGGTGTTCCCCACAAACCCGCCGCAGAGAAATACTGGTGCGCAGAGCGTACGAGTAGAACCTGGCATTCGCCGGGCAAAGGCGGGAGCTAAGACCAGAGCGGCGACTTGAAGTTTCTTGTTGCCTTCCCAGTTCCCCCAGTCAGAGGGCATAAGACCTAGGATTGAAAGGACGCGAACCAAGTGAGGCTAGGACCCAATCTTCCAAGCAGTGGCAACATCAATGTAAATGTTCATGAGTATCAACCGACTAATCTCTGTTTCTAGACAGGCTCAGCTTTGGACCGAGACCCATTCGTCGATAGATAACGATAGACAAAGCCGCAGAAGCTCTCAGCATTGCTTCAGTATCGATATTATTAGCACGCACAAGAGCATCGCCACTCCAAGCGCTCCATAAATTTTGACGCAGAAGACAGAGAAGATACAGCACTCGTATTAACGCGGAAGACGAATATGAATAAAAACGAAAAAAAAAAAAAAAAATTAGAAGAAAAGGGAAAAAAAATGAGGAAAGCGATAAGCGGCGAACGTTGATAGACTCAGCAGTCCGAGGACCTCCCTCCGAGTCCGCCCCAGCATTCTTTCACAAGTCCCGATACGAACCGGCGCCTGGAAACATCCCTGGAGATGCGCCGTATTTTCGGTGATATATTGACGCTTCATGGTTACCTTGCCGTCAGCCAGTCGACGCTGAGAGACTCGCTCGTCCTGGTCGAAGCCACTCATCTAGCCGACATGCGTTGAGCACGAACCCTTCATCTTCAGCAGATCCGGCGCTCACCCCCGTTACTGCCCATTGTACAAAGCTCGAATGCTCCCCGGAACATGTGACACCGGCGTCCTCGATGTCTTCCACAAGTACGCTAGTTCGGGTCCATAGGAGCCAAGGTCATACCAAGCTTCAATCCTAAGCTTGCGCTCATGGCAGAGGGTGACCGCATAATCCAGCGGGCATTGGGTGCAGTGATGCGTGACCTCTTTGCCGGGAGAATCGCATGCCTCCTTCACCACTCTCCCAAGCTCGCCGGCGTGAGCTTCGTGCTTCTGACACAGCGAGTTATATACGGGGATGGTGGGTAGCAGGCGCTCATGTGGGCAGAGGAAGTGATTCCATCTTCCTACATGGAGCGACTTTAAAGACCACCATTTAGCCGAGAAGGTGCTTGTTTTTGACAAGATGAATTGTCCGTTGACAACCCTAGGTTCGTAATGTAAGTCGAGCCTAGAACTGTGCGGGCTGCTCACATCGGGGCAATAGAACCACTCTCGCGCCGTGCGGGAGGCTAGAAGCCTCGCCAAATATCTCGAATATCGTGGGTTGGTATTCTCTAGTCTGTAGTATTTGAGGGCGAGTTGGACATGTCTCTGGTCGATGAGATACCCCCACACGTACGAGATTCGCTCCATTTTTCTCCGACATTCGTAAGTACGCGGCCGTTTAGGTGTATCCCGAGTGCGAAGCCTATGTATGTCGCAGCACCTGTTGCAGACCCAATAGTCCGGTAAGTTGTAGGCAATGCCGAACCAGAATTCGAGCTTATCTTCCTCGGGCATGTCGCCCACCCGTTCTATCCAGCTCCCTCCCCAGTAGCTGCGCAGGGCTCTGCATGTTTGCGAAAGGTGGAACCTATCAGACCATATAAAACGGCCATCCATGACAGCCAAAACGTCCAGAGGTATTCTGAGAATCGGTGGGATTTCATTGCTCCTTTCCTTGCTGTTTCTGTTGTTGCCATGTCCGTCGTGCTCGGTTTCTGTCCCCGTTTCCACACCGCCCGGTTCATTTGGTTTCTGCGCGGCCTCCAAGGGAAAAGTCCTGGTTATTGTAATGGCCATGGCTTTTTCTCAACATGGGAGAGCTCTATGTGAATCTGGGCCTGAGGTTCTTTTCGTATTGAAGGTAGCCAACATCTAGACCTTGGAAGATGCGAATGGAGGCATACTTCCACTGGCATAACCTATGTTCATTTATGAGGTCACAGCATTCCATGGCTGTACATGAACTAAGAAAGTTTGAGCCTCAAATATCACTCTGCTGATACAATTGATACCTTTCAGGTATTGTAATGATAACAAATTGGCCATTTAAGCTTGAACAATGGTTGTTGCACATGTGAAGAGAAGGAGAGACTTTGACAGTTGCTGTTGATGGTTGATGGGGTTTATTGCTAGCAGCTGTCGGCAGTGGGCGACCCAAACCAAGGGCTGTCAGCATATTTACCTTTTCCCCAGCACGCTTGGAGCTCTCCCAATATTTACTTCGTGTGCTTGGCTCTCAGCCTTAGATCCCCGCCAAACAACGACAGCTCTTCTAGAAATAGCTGTGCCTTTCGCATCTCAAGATGGCGCCCGGTAAGGCCTTCAACCACAATAAATGCTATTGTCCCTCGCCAATTTTGCTAATCATGTGCCTTCCTAGCAATCCAATACGAGCTCTCCCCGCCGCCCGCCGACGCCGTCTCGGCGCTCTCCTTCGCACCCAACTCGTCGAGATTGCTCGCCGCCTCGTGGGATAAACACGTGCACCTGTACGACGTAAAGGGCGAAGATGGCCAGGGAACGTTACTGCGCAAGTTTGAGCACCGCGCTCCCGTCTTGGACGTGTGCTTCGGCGGAAGCGACGACGAGGCTTTCAGCGCCGGCATGGATTGGCAGGTCCTGAGGTAGAGAGCCCCCCGAAACTTATGGAGGTGATGCGGGGGGAAGGGAAATCGCCTCGGTGTGTTTTATAGAGGATGCGATGGACTAATTGACGACGCGGCGCAGAATCGACCTGTCGACTGGCGAACAGACCGTCCTTAGCAAACACTCCGCCCCCGTCAGGCGAGTCGTATATTGTCACAACCAAGGTCCGCGGCCCCCAGATCATGAACTCCAAAGCCCCTCGACTAACTTGTTCCCTCTTCTACCTCTACAGGCATCCTCGTATCCGCCTCTTGGGACTCAACCCTCCACTTCCACGACCTCAAATCCCCCACCTCACAACCCCTCATCGTCTCCCTCCCCGGAAAACCCCACGCCCTAGCCGCCAGCCCCACCAAGCTCGTCGTAACCATGACCTCCCGCCTCGTCTCCATCTACGACCTCTCTGCCGCCTCCTCTGCCCTCGACTCCGGCTCCCCGACCCTCCAAGCCTGGCAGCAGCGCGAATCCTCCCTCAAGTTCCTCACCCGCGCCGTCTCCTGCATGCCCAACGACGCAGGCTACGCCACCAGCAGCATCGAGGGTCGCGTCGCCGTCGAGTGGTTCGAGGACTCCGCCGAGTCTCAGGCCCGTAAGTACGCTTTCAAGTGTCATCGCCAGCCCGCCCCCGAGGGCGACGGCGACGTCGTTTATCCCGTTAACGCACTCGTTTTTCACCCGGGTTATGGTACTTTTGCGACGGGCGGTGGGGATGGCCACGTTGCGCTTTGGGATGCGGAGGCGAAGAGGCGCATGAAGCAGTATCAGAAGTTCCCTGAGAGCGTTGCGGCGTTGGCGTTTTCGTCTGATGGGAAGTATCTTGCTATCGGTGTCTGTCCTGGCTTTGAGACTGGCCAGGAGGATTACTCTGGTGAGGGACGGACCAAGATATTTGTGAGGGAGTTGGGCGAGGCCGAGGCAAAGCCAAAGGGAGCTAAATAAGCCTATTGTTTCTGTTCTTTCCCTTCTCGTTGTATCCTTCCATTCCTTTTTATGTGTTTATATTTTCTCGATGAGGACTGAAAATACCATGGCGTTGGTAGGACATAGGGGCGGAAAATCACGAGTGTTTTTCTATGGAAAAAGAAATGGCTAATCGTATTCGTTTTCCTCGACACCATTCATTTTTTTGGTTTTTCTTTTTTTTTTTTCTTGCTGTGGCAATGAAGCAAGATTCTTTAAGAAATGGACCATCTACAATAAGAGTAGTTAATAGAGAGCTGCCGAACCATAAGAGAAACAAGAGACAACAAAGTCCCAGCATCGAAGCTCGAATTCGCCTGTCTCCAACAAGTAGGAAAGTAGAAAAAGGAACAAAATTAAAAACATTTATACCAGCACGCCTCCCGCCCGAAATCTCCCACAAGTAAACAAAAAACCCACCCACAAGAATCGCCAACTATAAGAAGTAATTTCGCCGTTCTTATAAAAAAAAAGAAGAATTTCCCAAGTAGGGGGGGCATATCCGAAAAAGCCCGCTAAGCCCAAGCCCTGTTCACTTGACCCGCGCATTCCTTTATAGGACCCAAAAGGACACCATTGATATCAAGGGGTATTGAAGACTTTGGAAAGAAAAAAAAAAAGAAACCATGAAGAAAAGGTTGACTCTGCCGACCGAGAAGGACAAAAAACAAGAAACTCCTTCAGCTCCTATCCCTGCGCCCCGCCAGCGCCCCCTTGCTGCTGTCCAGGTGGGCCGCCAAAAAAGAACCCGTCAAAGGGATTGACCTGCTGTCCGTCTAGGTCCTGATTAATCCCCGCGTCCCAGCTCAAACCGAACCCTAAGGGATCGAGGCTTCCGAGGTCTCCCGAGGGCGGCGCACCTCCTTGCAGCGCCTGGAGGAATTCCATCGACTGAATATCCGGGTAGTCCATTGGGTTGCCCTGAAAGGGACCTTGCTGCTGCTGCTGCTGCTGCTGTTGTTGCTGCTGTTGCCTGAGGTATGCCGAACTGCCCTGTTGCCGCGCCATCCGCCGACCGAGACTCGGCGTCGCGAGGAGAGCCGGATCGATAGGCGAAACCTCTTGCCCTCCACTGGGCCCGCTGCCGTCCGAAGGGCTTGGTCCCGTCTGAGCCTGTGCCTGCATGACGCTGTAAGCGTCCTCGTAGGTCTTGTTGCGGGGGAACGAAGGTGATATGGGCAGCTCGCTAGCGGCAGAAAGTGCCGGGGAAGACAGATTATCCATGTCAAAGGCGAGGTTGCGCGACGTGGGGCCCGACATGGTCGTGGAGGTTGAGGGGCTGCCGCTGGAGGATTGCCAGTCCATGACGGGGCCTTCCCTTGCCGTGGCAGTTGACCGGCGTTTTCGAGATGCGCGGCCGCCGAAGCCGCCGTTGTGGTTGGCCATCTTGACGGTGGCCTTTGCAGTGCGGTCGAAGGCGTCTCGGCAGGCTTCGGCGGGGGGGCATTTGTCGATCATGTCTGTGAAGACTGACTTGGCCGCAAGTATCGTGAAGTCGACTTCATCCATTGTCTAGGAGAAAGAAAAAATTAGATATTGTACTGAGTACGGGTAGACGAGCTTTGTGCCTGGGGCAGGGGGGGGGGATCAGAAGCGCCAGGTGGGAACCTACCAATCGACTCCTGACAATAGGCGAGTGCCAGATTGCATAGAGATACGCAATTCCCGCCATAAAGAGGTGATGCGTAGAGAGGTACGTGTAGCTGACGAGGCCACTTAGATGAAGCTGTCGATAAAGACGGAGAATCTTCTGGCCGGCTTCCGCGACCTTGAGATATATCCTGTCTTCATCCTCGTCTAGTTCCGCAGGATATCCGGTGGGACTGTCCACTTCTTTAGAGGTATTATACTCGCCCTCGAACATTGGTGGCACGCTCAAGCTGTTCCGGTAGAGTAGAATGATGGCCTGCCAGTAGTTGAGCTCCAGGAATTCAGTCGAGAAGGCAACTCCCGTCTTCTCCTTCGAAGGCGCTGTCATCCGCCACTCGTAGAGCCTGCGGTCGATGTCGATCCTCCATGACCTAAAAGATGCAAAGTTCACCAAGAAGGGAGATGGCAGACGGATGTGCATGTCGGGGATGTTGGCGTTTTGTCGGCTTGCTCGCACAAGCTGAGTCTGTTTGTACATCAATACCTGGAGAATCTCGGACTGCAGGAAGCGGAGCCTCAGGTAATGTAGCCCCACGGTCTTATAACTCGGCTCTTGATTGTCGGGGGTGAATATCCCGGCCTTTGTGATGTACTTGTCGTCAACTTGCGAGGGAAGTTCTGTTGTTATAACCTGGTCGCTAATGCCAAACGGCCGACCAACCGAGACGCTAATGAGGCGATCGAAGGCATAGGTGCACCACCATAATCTGCGGCGCATATCTCGCTGGTAGAGGCGCTTACCCTTGTCGTTGGGCTGCATATCGGCCAGCCGGGGGTTCTCTTCTGACTCTTGCTTAACCTGGGAGGTCTGGTTTCCAGAGTCACCATCGCTTCCATCTTCAGAGTGCAGACCGAGATCAACAGCGAGTCGCATAGCAACACCAATTATATACCTGCAGGAGTTGAAAAGGGTTAGTCTAGACATGTTGACGGGGGTAGCAAAAGTGAAAGAGACAGAGAGAGCCGGCTGTAACTTACCATAGTCCCGGAGGAACCGGCCTCAGGAGGGCAAAATTTGCTAGTAACAGAATAGCTTGCAACACGTCAAGACTGTTTCCACTATTGCTCAAGCATGATTCTAAGTGTACGATGGCACTGGCGTGGTATTCCTCTGGTTCCGCCTGCGCGGTCCTCGATTGGTCGACTTCCATCGAGCCGCCCGCCGGTGGACGCGGATCCGGCTTGGTTCCATCATCCACTATCACGCCGCAACCAATAGCGCAGACCATGTTCAGCATGTATAGATCGCGAGGTGATCGGTCTGCGGGATCAGTAGCGTAAACCCGATCATAAATCTCCGTAAACTCTATACGGTGAAGGATAGGTATTTGAGGATTGGCGAGTTGGAAGTACAAGTTCACCAGCTTTGCACTTATCTCCTTATCGGGGAAGGGGGCAGGCCGGATAGTCGGCTTGGTATGGAGGCCAAAGAAAGATTCCCGAAGAGAGGCTCCGCCAGTGATGCGTGAGGGTGGTTTTTGGATGGTTCCGCCAGGGGTCGGCGCTGTAATGGCTTTATCGGTATTCGATGCCTGGTCGGATACAGAGTATTGGACAGCAGCCAAAACCACGCGGGCAAAGGAGACTCCAGAGGTGTCGGCAAGGGAGCGCGGCTTGGTCGAGCTAACAATATTGGGCATACCAGATGCCTTCGGGTCGCGCCCCGCGACCTGTACCGAGTCCGATCCGGAGGTCGACTGCTTCTTGCTTGCGGGGCTCGATCCAACAACACCGGTCTCGGCGACAGAGAGGCCACCTTTGGGGCCGGAACCCGTACGCGAACATAACTCCAGGTCATCGGCGGGCGGGAAAGAGATTTTGTTCTCGAGGAGGATGTTTTCCAGTTGCTCGACTCGGGTCTCTAGGTAGTAGACGTAGCTTCAGATACCCTCCAAGTCAGCACGACCGTTATACATTTCTCGACCCTCCATCGCTCTATCACAAAATAACAACACGACACAAACGACCGCAGAAAACAAAGAGCATCACAGCGCCCGCAAGCCACCCCTTCATACAGCTTTTACCCACCTTCTAGGAATTTGTTTCTTCGTTATCGGGTCATAGCCCACACAGGCGACGCCGGCCTTCGCGCAGCTATTACAGCTCGGAAGCTTCTGATCGCAGCGGTTTTTGCGCAAGCGACAACGATTACAAGCACTCACGTTGCGGAAATTGGAGCTGTGGCCGGCGCCCCTGGGATGTGCTTGATGGGTATGCGCATGCACGTCGCTCGGCGACGACTGGTCGTTTCCGGGCGAGGGAGGCGAATGGTCTACCGACGACCGTCGCTGGCGCTTGGGTGGCTTGGGGTTGGGCGAGGGCGGGTCATGCTGGGAGTTTGGCATTGTGCAGGGGGGATTCGAGATAGGCACAGAGGAGGCGGAGTCGGAGGAGAGAGGGGAGGGGAGAGGAGGAGGAGGAGGCGGTGCGCTGAGGGACTCGGGCTCTGCGCGAATTTGGATGGCAAGCGACGGTCATCTATCGAGCATGCAGACAGACATTGGTGACGTTATTCCCAAATGGATCAATTGGGTCGTGGTCTGGTAGGGTTAGATCGGGGCGGAACGTGCACGGGGAGGATGAAGAAAAGAGAGTTTGAAGTTTTCGAGACGGTTGCAACATCGATGGGCGGTGGGCGGTGGGGGAATTTTGCCGCTTTCACGAACTTGGACTTTGACTTGTTGGGAAGGCGGGACGCGGCACATGGAAAGCTCGGAGCCCCGGCAGCTCAGCGCGGGGGCATGGGCGATTGGCTATTTGGGATTTTGGGGGGTGGTGTTTGGGTCTTTTGGTCTTTCGGGTCTTTTTGGGATTTGGATTTGAGCCTGGGACTTGGGTATAAGGAATTGGGTTATTGGCCGGGGGGAGAGGTCGGGTTGGGGGTTGCCAGCTGTCTGGGATCAATCAATTGACGGGCGATCAAATTTGGGACATTTGGAACGTTGGAACGTCGAAACATTGGAACATTGGAACATTGGAACAGAACGTTGGAAACTCGGATGGCAAAACACTCGAGTTGCTAGAACAATGAAACGAAGCCAATTGATAACAAAAAGTTGTCAAAGTTTTCGAGGCGTCGGAAACAACCAATTGGCAGCTTCCGCCTGCCAGTGCGCGACGGACTGCCCGGCCCCGGTCTTGTTGGTGCTGGTGGCACGCAGTCGGCTTACTGCTTGTACGTACTTGGCGAAGTTGACAATGAAATTGATGCTGATGGTACCTGCTACCTCGGAATTGAACTACTCCGATCTCTTTGCTGCGCCATTTTATCGATGGCTGGGAGTCTACGCGAGTCATCATCAAATTGCACGACGGATCAGATTCGAATATTAGCATTTTCGAGCTAATCTGCCTCGAAATTGATCCATGGATCCATCATTGATGCCTTTTTGAACTCAACTTAATCCTTCGTAGTGTACACCTCCACTCCTTCGTTGTTCAAAACGGGAACAGTGCCTGTTGGAGCCTAGAGCCTTACGTTGAGCCGAGCGTCGACACTAGCGTAGCGTACTGATAGTGCGCACGACGCGGCGCTAGAGTCCAGAACCGAGAGCGTAACTTTGAGTCGTGGTGCCCACTTGGTCAGTGTTGTGCCTGCGAAGTAAACTTAAGTACACAGGTAATACCGACGATGCGGACGATGCAGACGATGCAGGGCCTGAGCGAACGAAACAATTGTGCCTAGTATTACTCATAGGCCAGCAAGGTTCAGTGGCACGTGTTACTCCTTCGGAACTTTGACCATGAACCTTGAAGTTTACAAATATTATTCTGCTGTGTACCTCGTACGGACGAATTGACTTCATCGTCGCTTTGATGTTGCGAACAATCAAAAGACCTCGGTACATCATACTTCGCAGGTCTTGATTACGAAACATTTAAACAACGAATGGAGCCAGGCACTGTGGTACCAACGGCTTGGGAGAGTGCAAATAAATCGTAAAAAACAGAAAAAGAAAACGTAACGTTGAAAGAATGGATGCTGTTGATGGAGGAATCTAGGAAGTGGAAGTGAAAGTGGAAATGGAAATGGACATCCAGAAAGGGCAAAATCTGAAGACAACAGTACGCAATCATTGAAGGTAGACAAGGGAGCCCCTCTCTCGATTGTCCACCGTTGTGTGCCATCTCGTGGCTTCAAAGTTGGATGATTAAGCACACCTTCGAGTCCAAGAGAGACTTTGGACTTGGAAAGAGCTTGAAGGGACTATCAGATCAATGTAGTTGACATTTCCCATCACCTCTTCTGAGTAGACTGTAAAACCCGATCCATGTAAGCCACCCGCCCCGACACACCGGACTCACCGGGACTTTATCACTTCGAGTGGCTCAAATACTAGAATCGGGGATAACCCAAACAGAACTGTAATGGCAAGACGTTGCATCTGAACTGGACACTTCAACCAACACACGAATCCTGAAGCCCAACCCGGCTGGAGTGGAGTGAACCGCGACGTCAAATTGATGTGGTGTATATTCAACAAATCTCCGGCAAGCTGGTGCCTATCGAAAGACAAGGTTGGCTGGCATTATTCAAGCTCTTAAAGTGCATAACCCCATCTAGTTAAAACCCTTCCACCCGTACCCGTTTGCGTGGTATCAAATAAAAATATGCTTCGTATACAATAAACGTCCTAGTGTCTTCAAAATGTGTGTTGAAACAGGAAAACGGCACAAAATCAGGACAACAAGCCCAGTTCATCATCATAGCTGCTTTCGAAAAAAGCGCAGGTGCAATAAAAGAACAAGCATTAATGGAAACACGACCGAAAATGTAACTGTCATGTGTGAGACGTCGGTCCCCAATACTTCTCGTGAGAGAAAGAGTCCCATGACTAAGGTATTATGAAATTGGTAGCCGCAAATAAAACAACCCAGATGACGATGACAGGAAAAGGAAGAGGAAAAAAGTGCTAGGAAAACGTCGACCAAAAGGATAAACCGAAACCATAAATCACCAGGCCCTCTGATGTTTACCGCAACCATGCTTTTTATCTGTCCTCCGTAACAAACCCGTCTATTATTTCCCTTTAAACGCCGCTCCGGATATCTTCGTTGCTGAGAAGGTGGATTCCAAGAAAATGTCGGAAAAAAAAAGTGTGTCGTTGTCGATTAAAAAAGAGAGATATCAAAATGTTAATGGAAAAAATCAAAATGAGAAGAAAACCTTCTGCTGGACTGCGAGACTGTGGTCCTGAGGGGAGGGAGGGAGGGGATACAATCAAGTTATTCGCGACGTTCCTCACTGCTCGACAGTTCCGGACTGGGGTCTGCAGGAGAGACCTTCGGCGTCTCGTCAGGTTCGTCGAGTCGCCCACGAGGTTCCGTCAGACGAAGGCTCAACACAGCTCCGGCAATGGTAGTAATGCCGCTGCACCACCACGCCAATCCGGAGTAGCCGCTCTGCAAACCCAACGAGTAGAGGAATCCCGAGATGGTTGGACCGAACGCACGGCACAAACTGGCGGTAGAGGCGGCGACGCCATTAATGGTTCCCAAGGAAAGGAGAGTGGGCGCCGAGTTGGTGAGGAGAATGGCATTGCTGGGATAAGCCATCGTCGAAAACGTGCACTTCCAAATCACCATGACGTAGATCCCGACCATTCGGAGATTCTCGGGGAGGAGGACCAAGTAAGGCGTCGTAAGATACAGCAGGAAGTAGGATATGGCGATGAGCCGGAAGAGGGTCAACGCGCCCAGCTTGCGGACGACGAAAGGGAAGAGGAAGACCGTCGAAACCATTGAATAAAAGCCCTGGACTGCGAGAATCACACCAATCTCTTTAGTGTCGAGTCCGAATCCCGATACAAACTTGAAGGGTAGCTCGACTTCGGGCGCTGGTTCCGGCGGCGTGGTGCTGAGGAAGACTGGGAAGAGCTGATCAAAGGTCATTGTGTGGCTGGTGGTGAGGTGGTTAGCAGCGCTCACTAGCAATTTCGAACCCACACCTCAGAGGCGACATAACAGAACAGGGTACCTACAAGGCAAGGATGCCATATGAAATGATATTCAGAATGACTGGCTTGGTGAATATTGTCTGAATGGGTTTCGCTGGCGGTGCCAGTTCCCCGCTTGCTTCGAGGTCCAAGGGTTCGGGAGAGCCTGACCCGGGGCTAGACGTGAGTTCTGGCGAGCTCTCGCTCGTTTGGTATCCTGGGAGCTCATCGAAATCGTCGAGCAGGGGCTGCTTCTCAGCCTTGCGGCTGGTGGCCCGACAAGTCTTCGCCGACACCCACTGCGTAAGGCGCTTTCCGAGTTCGATTCCCGGGTCTCGCCTAGACTTCTTGCCAGCGTGAGTCTCTTCCAGAAACAGAATTCCTACGACAACACCGCAGCATACTGCGACGGCGCTGAAAAGGTTAGGCAGCAGATATGGGTACTTCTCCCAGATCGTGCCACGAGGGAAGAGGTCGGGATAGCTGATGCAGGGTCGCGCAAGCGCGCCACCAATCATCGGTCCAACGATAGATCTGTTGCCGGTCAGTCAGTGGGATTCAGTATCGGAGAGCCTTTTTTTCCCCGCGAAAACGACTTACCCAAGACACCAAACCAATGGCATAATTGTATACGCGCGAGCTGGAAAGTGAGAGAGACCGTTAGTTGCGCAAAGACCTTGCCATTTAGTTTTGTTCGGGGGACACGCGGAACTCTACGTACGTTGGTGCTCCTTTACCGTGATAAGCTCAGCAACAGTTGTTTGCAAAACACCGATGTTGCTATTAGTTCCAGTCAGTCATCAACTTCTGCAGCTGAAAAGTCCCCCGGAGAGGGATAAACGTCTTGCCTACCCGTTCAAAAGGCCACCCAACGCCCTCGCGAAGAGGGCAACTGAAAGACTGGGAGCGAATCCGAAAATCAAGGCGCTAATGGCTGTTCCGGTCAGACCCATGAGAAGGATGGGTTTTCTTCCGACCTTGTCGCTGAGCCTTCCCCACATAACACCAGTTGAGAATTCTGCTAGGGTGAACGCCGAGGTGACCATGCCAGCATAGACAGAAATCTTGTTAGGATCATCTGTGATATGGAAGTCCTCGATCATGAAGTAGATGTAAGGGAAGATGGACATGAACGCAATAGGTTCGCATATCCGGCAGAGGGCTATGTGTTGAATTGTTAGCGACATCTCATGGCCCCATGCCTCCCTCTAGACATCCGTTTATGGTCTCCATATGACAGGGACCGGAAGCTTTCCAAGATTGATGTAGGCGGACCAACCTAGGATAAGCATTTGCTTCTTTGGAAACGGAGGTAGCTCCCTTTCACTCGAGGTGTCCTCAAGGTCCTTCTTGGAACCCTGGGTTCCGTAGCCCTTCCTCATGGTGTCTCAATGGTGTCTGAGGACTGGGTGCTAATGGAGACGATATATGCGGCTGCTCCTGATAAGCGGCAGAGGAGAAATTCTCTAGTGACCGGCGAGGGCACGCGTCTGATATCACTTTCTAGATCAATGGTAGGTCTTCCGGTCAAAGGCGTATATGATTAGGGCAGTGTCCTCGATAGCACGTGGAAGGAAGCCGGGGGAAAGGTTGATTGGTGTCCGTGTAAGAAGAGCTGAGCTGAAGATAAAGTCTTGTTGAGCCGCGGCCTTTGGAAGATATGTAGGTGTGATGGGCAGTCACTAGGGCAATGGAGAGAGTATGGATGGATCGTTCTCTAAGGACGATGAGATGCGTGTGAGCCGCGTATGAGGGTAATGGGTGTCTCGAGGTGGGACGCCAGAGTCTGGGAGAGGATAAGACGATGGTTCGGGTGACGATGTGGCTTGCAATGGCTACATATACAAGGCCTAGTCCTGGGGTGAGCAGCAACTCGGTTGGGCGGGAGTTTCGGAGACTAGTCTCAAGAGAAGGGAGGAAGTGAAGGGGGGGAGGAAGCTAGTTTATCAACGAAGCTCTTGGGCGAAGGAGCGATGGGGACAAGGTGAGAGGGAGTGGATATAAAGGCAAAGAACCCAGGGCAGAGGTAAACACCCGCCGTGTCGTTGACAAGACTGACAAGGACTACCTTGCCCAACACGACGAAGGGGTTTCGGTTCCAAGTCCCCAACTTAAGCCGCAGTGGTTGGGGCTACTGCCCATTGGGACTACCATTGGGGCCATTGGGGACATATGGACCGGGTAGGTCACCAGGGCCATGCTCGGCTGCGGAAATAACTTGGCTCTCAGATTGGATAGGAACGGCGGTGACGGGAAGCGCCAACAATAATACCAAGGGATAAGCAAACATCCTCGTAGTACGAAGTAAATTCTGTGTCTGAGTACCGGGCCACTACTGGGAAAACATGGCCAGGAAAAAGGGAAAAGTAGTCGTATACTACGCATTTTCCAATCAAATCCAAACTAGTCCTTTTCGTTCAAGAGGGGAACGCCAGGCCGGCGCGACGAATGGGGGTGTTAGCTTGGGAGTTGCTAGCAGAGGGACCAGAAAGGTTCCAAGTTTTCGGGCATGATGGTCAGTGAGACAAGCTCCGGGGGTGTGAGTTCCAGCCGGGGAGCCTTCCAGGGGAGTACGACATGATGGTGGGGAGAGGGTGTGCCTAGCGTTGGCTGAGTGGGGCAGCAGGGGTAGCAATGCTGGGAAGGAGAGAAGGGGACTCAGGTAGTGGCATGTACCTCCCCTGTCTTCATTTTGCAGACCTGCTCTCTCGACTGCACTACCTCATACGAAGTATCCATTGATCATTGTACCAACGGCGCACCGGGCGATGGGCCTGGCCTGGCCTGGCTCAGGTGCACTTGACTGGGCTAGTTACTCCACTGCCTGACCTTGCCTTTCAGTTCTGTTGTGGCACGGGTACGAGAAGGTATCTTGATCAAGTGGGTAAGTGCGAGGCAGTACGCGAGCTGCTCTTTCTTCTCTGGCTGCACTTTTGACCCTGTTTCCCCCCGTTTCCTGGATGCTCCGGCTGTGTACGGCTCACACCTACCGCCAGGCCGGGCGATTTGCTGGGTGTCCAGGCGGCACTGCGCAGCCAGTGCTGCCATTGAGCTCCGGAAGTGCTCAACCTTGTGAACGTAAACCACGTCGTAAGAATGGGAAAGGAAAGACGAACAATGTCTTGGGCGACCGAGAGGAGGACCGCCACTTTTTCCGTTTTCCCCATGCTGTCAATCGATCGTCAAACTGATCCTGCGCCGTTTCAAGACATGCGAGATGTCGTATTTTTTTTTTTTTAAAGTTGGCAATAAGCCCTACGGGTGTCATTTTTACCAGCCGTCGATCCACCCACCGCCTCGTTCCAATGTCGACCATCTACATATGAAGTAGTAGTGTACGTACAATCGTAGCACGTCTCCACGACAGATCCTATCGTGGAAGGTATACCCTGCTGGATACATACTTGTAACATGCACTTGCTGCGTCCACCGCGCTAACGGTAGGGCAGCAGAGGTCCTCCTGTCTGAGACGGGAAGCCGCAATGGGGTGAATAGTGTAAGAGATAAGCCTGTGGGGTGGCAGCAAGAAGGCGGTATGGGGGCGGTGACTAACAAAGGTAGGAAAGTAGGAAGAAGACTGGAGCTTTGAGGCGTCCTGACCTCGACCCGAAGTGATGTTCAATCGATGGCAGGGAGAGGGGGAGGCAGAGAGGGGGTCCAAAACGAGCACAAGACTTCATCGGATGAGAGGCGCTGCCACGCCATCATTGATGTTTTTCAAGACTTGCCTTTTTCTTCTTTCTCTTGCGCCGGACAACAATGTGACCTCTACAAGTGGCTTCAGCGCCGCAGCTAATAGTACTTTGTGTGAGTTGTATTATAAGAGAAAAAAATTCGGGGTGAAACGTCACCGTTGGAACGACATCTTTGTACACTTCAGTGCTGTATCACCTTGGCCAGGCCATTTCATCAACACGGATGTGGTAATAACGAGAGGGATGGGCCGGAGGCAGCTATCCGTTTCCGGCATCGCTCATTGGCGCGGGCTAAATTGATGTCGTGTGTGTGGAAGTATCTGATGTGTGACAGGATAAGGGAATAAGACTTGCTCAACCGTGCCTAAGTATTTACTCTCCTGTCGCTTTTGCTCAAAATCTTTGGGGGAGCGTGATGCGACGAGATGGTCAGCCTTCAATCCGGCGGGTGATAGCGTCGGAAGGGGGTCAGAGCCGGGACCGGTGTAGAAGAAGTAACTTGAAATTCCACGGGATCACACCCATCGTCCCTGTCGAAGGACGCCCGTAGCGGGAAGAGGAAGCCCTCCGGCTGCCGAAGGCGGGTTGTTCTCCTGGCATCATACGAAGTACTGTAAGTCGCGCCCAATAAACGACGATTATGGCAGTCCCAGCGAGCTGTACATCCTCTCACTCATTCATTTTCCTCCTCTTTTGTACTGGATGCTCTGGCCTTTTTGGTTTCTACCTTGTTAAGTGGTTTTTGACAATGGCGGGGCTTCCAAATATTAAGGCTGCACTGATCACAATGACGATAGGATCTGAGAGCACCGACCGACCTGAACCAAGATATTGAGATTGCAAGAATCACTCAAAAATCTTGGAAGGGGGTGGGAAATGGCAGGATCACATTGGTCAATAGTATTCCCCTACTGGTTGGCTCTCGACTCTCTCTCCCTAGCTCCATACTTCGTAGTCAGAACTACTTCTCGACATTTTCGAAGGAGTCCGAGAACGTGGGGTGTGTAGCTCGGAGCTTCGAGAAAATGGTACCCTACAGTGGAGATGTGGTATAAAGTACACATCACTGGGGCCACTTCCGTCTCTATGGTGCTCCAAGGATCTGTGAGGCTATTCAAGATTGATGGGGTAAAAACCACTGCGCCATTCCTACTTTGTAGTCTTCCTGCGCCCTGCCCAGTCCGAGCCCGCCAAGGCAGTTCCGGCAAACGCGCTTCACGAGGTAACATCAGTGTGGTATCGAGAACACCTCGATGTGAAAGAGACTGACAAGAATGACAGCCGGTCAATGTACAGGGCATGCAAGACGAGAAGCACATTGCTTCTGCGACGAAGTTTGCTTCGTAGTTGGATGATTCGGGTGACATCTCGGTCTTGGAACAACCAACTATCTTGCTCTCCTCCCCGCCTTTTAATAACCCCCCTACGGAGTTTTGGTGGTTTTCCATTTGTCGCGGGACCGAGGCGCGAGGTTTTTGAGATACACTGAGCTTTTCTGGACGCTGTGCCTCAGAACGTGACGCAGGAAACCGCGCACCTGGCTGCAAGCCAATTTTTGGCTGCAGTGCATCAGGCAAGGTGTCGAAGACCAGAGGTCGGGTCACAGCATTTGATCAGCCAAGGGGATCTTGAGCCGAAGTGGCTATCCTTCTGCATTCGCGCATGTGAGTGAGTGTGTGTGAGTGTGTGCGTGTCTTGTCTGTCGCACAACATTCATCCATCGCGACATTCGCATTCCCGAGTCTACAAAACAGGGGGAAAGAAAACAGAGAAAAAAGGAGAAAAGCAAAAAGAAAAAAAGAAACAAAAGAAAAAGAAGGGAAAAAAAAGGAAAGGATTTCTCCTTTCTTGTTTCATTATAAAGGAAAACAAAGAAAAGGCAGCTAACGAGATCATCCCTCGAGAAGCCGGGCAAGTGGGCAAACTCCTCGCGAAGCACACCGCCTGGCTCGGTGGTCCCGAGGCTACCTTGAAGTAAGAGCGGCATGACCCGGACAAACGCTCCTCTCGTGAGCCATGGGAAGCATGTTTGTCTCGACTCGGCTCTCCGGAAGCCTGTGCTTGGAAGCAAGAGGCAACGTTTCGCGTTGTTATTCGGGCGGAGCTGTCCTTGCGACAAACAGATCACCACCCCCAAAGGCTTGGCAGAGGTGAAGGAGGGCGTACAAAGGGCCCTCCTGACTAGAATTGCTGGCATCGAGACCAGAAGTCTGACATCCCGCATGGTAAGGCGCGGACACGGATACACGAGTGTGAATATACCAAGGATCAATTGATGCGTAACTTTAATTGCAGACAAAATGAGTTACCAAACGTCAATCCTGCGATCTTTCCAAGGGCAGTTCTAGAAAGGAAGGCGCTTGGACAGGGAATTATGTGGATAAGGAGATTAACACTGCAGATGCAACCCGGAGATCGAAGCGTTGATTTCCCGGGCGAAAGTTGGGGAAAGGAAGAAAAGGAAGAAGCCCGGAAATTATTATTTTGTTTCACCTCCTCCTACGCCGGCAGTGTTTGCCAATAAGGCGGTGAGCAAACATTGAAGGCTGGTTAATCGAAGTGAAGTTGCCCGACGGGAAGCCACATGAATCATGATCAACCAAACAAACTATCTAGTGTTTGCTTCAGAGTAATACTATTTCTCTTAGACAGGACTTTGATTAATGCTTCAAAGTTACTGGTAGATG